TGTCAAACTGGTTCTGGATTATTATTATTTTTGGTTTGCTGTTATGAATGGAAATTGGTACACCTTTTTAAACCTATGAATGTAAAATAGAGTTAAAGAATATATTGGGGCTTGTTCTATTCTCAGACTTTTGCATGAATGTGAGTGTTGTAATAACCAAAGGAGAAGGATTTTAATAACCAAATCCTTCTGAGATCAGCAGGAAAATTCTCAGCCACAATTGAGCACACTTTAAATTCAGAGACTTCCATTTCCTTTGATGAGAAAAGCACATCAACCATATGCATCAGCATTTGTGGGTATTTTTGCATGAAAACACTTTTATAGAGGAAAACAAGAGAAAACCTTTGTGTAAACAAGTTGCACGGCCATAAATTTTCCCTAAAACTAATTAAAAACAGACTTCCTTTGAATCACATTGTTTTTGTTTAAATCATAATTTCTTAAAACTTAATGAGCATACAGTATGAACATGCATATCTGAAAGTAGAATTTGCTTCTACTGTGATGACCATCAACTCTATTCTAGTCCTGCAAGAAATAATTGCTCCATTGGAAATGAATATCCCTATTGGCATAACACATTTTCATCACATTCAGAAAGGAACTGAATAGTGTAAGCATCGCAGCTATCCTTCCTTGCTGGTTCAGATCATCTATACTTACTTATGTAACTATTTAAACCTTTGAAATTTAAACATTTAAACCTTTTCTATACTATATGGAATGTGTAATAGTAGCATACTGGCATATCATATGTTATATATTTATATAGGCACATCCTATTGTAAATAAGAGTAAGAATTTATTGAACATATGCATACATATGTATGTACTGTATGTATGCATTTCTAATCGATATGCATAGCTCATGCAAATTTATTTATTGTGAAAGCAAAGATCACAATAATGTCTCAGAAAGCCTTCTAAATGGTAATGGAGGGTCGCATTGAATTATATATTGAGATGCCATTGAAGTGATGTAAGTTTTCCATTTGAACATTAAAAGTCTTATATTGTAGCAAAATAACTAAATGGGTGTATATATTTTCATAATCCCAATGGAAAAGCAATTCTAAGGAGCAATGGCATATTTTGATATTAATAGAATTATTATGTAGATAGATTCAATTTGTAGGACTTTATTGTATGCATCAGAATACAGTTATGAGTCCTTTTTGTGATACTGCTGATGCAAAATAATGTTTATTTATCATAACTGGTTTTTTTTTAAAAAAAGTGGGAGTCATGGGATAAATTGTGTACAGGCAATGAACTATGAAGCCTTGTGCTAATGTTTTATAATATGAGTAAAAATAAAGAGATGTTGTAAAGCAATAGATCCCAGTACAATTGCTTATCAGTAGTATGTGACAGTGTAGTCTTTACATTTAGATAAAAAAAAAATAGAGCAGAATATGCTGGTATGATTGTTTAAGAGGTTAGGCAAAGGAAACTTGCACTTTCTCAGAAAGGAAATCTGTCTTTTTTTATATTTAGACTAAATATAATCTAAGAACAAATGAAATGAGAAGCTGAAATCCCAAAACCTCATCAAAATATCCACTGAAACCGACATCTGAAATTAGTTTGTTATAGGAATAGGCTATTTTATGTATTAACTAATATGTTTATACATGGACCTTTACAAACTCTTTTCTGGGGCAATCTAAAAACTGTACAGTGAAATATCTACATTTTAGAACTGCATAAAACCAATAAAGCTAGTTATGTGAAAGGACTGGATTACTTTGCACTAAAACTTAGTAAGGTGGACATCAGGAGAACTTCTACAGCAGGGGTGTCAAACGTGTAATGTCACATGACGTGTTGCGACGTATCGTGACTTTTTTGCCATTGCCAGCAATGGGGTGGGCGCGGTTTCACTATGATGCATCCGGCCCACAGGCCAGCAGTTTGACACCCCTGTTCTGCAGGAAGAACATTCCACAAACTTGATAGAACTATGGAAAAGGCCCATCTTTCATCTCCTTGACACAGCTGGCAGATCTTAAGGTAAGAGAAGACTAATAATGAGGTACATTGTTTCAAGTACTCAAGCACCAGGATTAATATTTTGAAGTGTAGTAACAAACAAATCAGGAATTATTGGATTCTTTTAAAAAAAACAAACACTGGGAATATATTTCTGTTCTTCCAGAGCAGCACAAAACACAATACATTCCAATCTATCTAGGAGTCTACATGAGCATGACTAATAACAGCCAAATTATTTATGTGCAACAGGAGGGTTCCATTGTCCCTGTACACCAATATGGACTTTCCATTAGCATCTAATTGGACACTGTGGACAATATGTAGCTGGATTACATAGTCTAGGAGTGCAAATTCTGTTACTTTCAAGATGTTATGTGATTTCCATTCTCTTCAGTCATGGATAGTACCATGGATGATCAAGCCTAATTTATTACTTTGGAGATGGCCTTTGTGCTTATACAGTGGGATATTACATTTTCTCTTTTTTAATGACTGGTTCTATTTTCAAATCTTTGAATAAATAAATATCTGCTTTGTATTGCGTAGAATAGTCTTGCCTGGAGTGGCCTTGACTTTGTAGCCAAGATTATAGGCATGTGAGAAATGACCCTGAATCCATTTTGGAAATGGGAGGATTTTAAATCATAATGTTTAAACAGAAATGTGAGACACAAATGTGCTTTAGGCAGACATTTATATTTCCACTGAAAACATATTTAAATATATTTTGAAGGGTAAACCTGACTAAGCAGTGGGGAGCAATAATGCCCATGCTGCTACAACACAATTACCTAATTTAATGTCCACATTTTGTGGAATAATAAAAAGAAATCAACTGATTCTGCCAAGGATACTCATAGAATTAAATTTACCTCAAACAAATCCCATCATATAGAAGATTAAAGTAACTCCATACGGTCAAAGGAGTGGGATCTAATCATCTACTGAGCCATTTTCAATATGATGTCCTCCCAGTAAAAGAGCTGGGGAGAAATAATGCCTTTCCTTATAGAACTCACTGCTAATACTAGACAACACAGAGCATGGTTTCCCAAATATTGGCTGCACCTATTGCAGCTGGCCTGGCCAATGGAGAAGGGGCTAGTGATGTTGAAAAGCCTATTATTCTCCTGGTGTAAGACCTTCTAGAAAACCAGATAGTTCCTGAAGAAAATGGATAGCTCTGTATTTCCAAAATGGTGATACTTGATTCCCTTACCATGATTTCATGATTCTAGAAATATCACGAAAGAGATTGAATTGGGTTAATAGCTAAGAGTTTTTTTTAAGCATAGTGTGGGAATAGGGCCTATGTCCCATGGCTTCAATGAACTGGGCAGTATCACTTACTGGAAACCACTTACTGCTTAGGAATAGTATTTCCCCCATCTGGTGGCCTTTAGAGGAACTGGTTTTCCCTCAGCCCATTCCTTTTGGCATGCTGGCTGGAAGTTGAAGTTCAATATATCTGGAAAGCACCAAGGAATAATAAATACAGTAGATAAGGGAGTCCTTGCCAAGATATGCAAATACTCCCAATAAGAATAGTTGACATTATAATGGCCTGATTTTTTAAAAAATAAATATTGTGTTAGATGTACATCATCTAAATGCAATTTTCTTCTAAGAATTTATCATCCAGGAATTTCTTAGCAATTGAGGAACATGAAAACTTACCATGGGTGAAGCCCATTGCTTAGAGGGAGTCTACTGTTAGTTTTGGTTTCATCCACTCATCTTCTTTCAGAGATGTGTATGTAATCAGATGCACACCTATTGTTTCTTTCATGTGTACAACACCCTTTTCAATTACAAGGAATCTCCAGCTCTATAAACAGAGTCAAATGAATTTCTTTGAAAGTGAGTAAGAAGGTTATGTGGACAGGAAACGCCACTTAAAGTACCAGATCTGTATTTCAAAGATTGGATTAAGGTAACTATGAGTTACAGTGGATTTTTTTTACAGCACTCCGCTATGAATTTTTAGATATACTTCAGCACCGTGACCTCCAGTAGTTCTTAAACCTTTGCTAAGAAATTCTCAGCAAAATGGATCTGCACAAAAATCAGACTCTCTGACAACAGACTATGCTGCCCGCAAACCTGGGATCTGTTTTTCTTGTGAAACTTGAGCCACTGTATGCAGGTCCTCATGTTAAAACATTGCTCATTTAACTTTATATGTTCCATAGTTGACCCAAATTGGAAACATACAACTTAAATTCCTATACAGCTACCTCACTGTAGATTGCTCAGCCTTCTTATCACGCAACAAACAAAGAACAACCTATCGTTAAGCTTGCAGTCAAATGTTTATAACTCCTGTTGGTGGCAACAGAACATAAAGGCTTGGTAAACCTACAAGAGATCTAGAAGTACCCAACCTTTTCACAACTGCTTGGAGAAAACATGATGCAGAAAGTCTCCTAATGTCCAGTGATTTGGTTCTTTTGTCACTCTTATCATTTAAAAAGTTATCTTCGAGTTCCATCTGGTAATGTTGGTTTTGCATCCACCAGCTTAAAGCAGAGGTTGCTCCATTGTGTGTCATGACTACTGAAAAGGCAATTGGTGCTACCTGTGCCTGTACTTTGTATTTATATTTGGTTTTACTTTTAACCTTTATGAATGGTAGGAAGAGTTGAAAACAGGTTTGCTGTTTAATTCTCACAACTATCTGTTTAGAAAGGGGCAAGTGAGTTGTAGAGAAAACATCTCTGGACCAGCATATACAAATATTCATATCAAATAAGCAGTTAACTCAATTTTCTAACAGAAAATTAAAGCTATCAGTATTTTAATTTCTATGCAAATGTTCAGAAAAAGAGGTCCTTGGGCAATAATTCATAATTCTGTATCTAGTCTGGTCCCTTGGTTAGATTTAGAAGTGAGAGTCAATGGTTCCACTGCATTGTGCATAGAGTTCCAGGTGACTTCCTAATATTCTGCCTTTTGTGATTAAATGGCAACACACATCCTCTGAGCAAATATCTATGGAAGACAAAATGTTTATTAGGCAAAAAAAAAAAATCAACCAAATGGTACCAGCTAACATTCAGATATTTGCATCATCAGAAACTCAGGTATTAGTATAGTCCAAGAATCACTTCAATGAAGACATCAAATCCATTTGTATTATATTTGATACACTTTGGACATGCAATGGCACCAAGCACAATGGCCCCAATCCCTTGCAAGTTGATATGATTAAGAAAAACTAGTGATCTTAAAAGAGATGTACTTCTCCCCTATTATTTTCCTTTGATCATCAATTTAATGGGGAATAGAGGATATTTTGGTTCTTTCCTGGAGGCTTGGGACAGTTTAATTCCAAACAAGATCTTGTGAACATATTAGATCTGAAGTAATATTTAGAGCTGGGGATACATAAAACCAGTTGTTCGGGTCCTTCTTTCTTTTGATGGTGTGGCTACTCTTCCCTGTGTGCATTCTTCTAACTGAGGCCAACATAGGAATGATCTTGAAAAATTGGGGCTTCTGTTCAACAACAACCCCCAGAGATGGCAAAAACTGAGGGTGAGGGAGTGACATTTGAATTTCATTTAAGATCCTCAAGATGAGACAACTACAATTTTGCTATTGGCAGAGAAATTCAACTCCACATTCACTATTTTTATCACTCCATCAGACAATATAAGGGGAGAGTGATGAGGAATCAAGCAAAATATATTTTTTAGGCTACCAACATCAAACCATTCACATTGGTAGAGTTCCATTAATCTTTTTTAGCATTGCTATTAAAAAAAATAAAAAACCCTCTGAGGATCACCTCTACAATAATTGTAAGCTGGATTAATTGGCTGTTTGAAGGTGTACTCTAATGGTTTTTTTCTTCCAATTTCTTTTTGCTGGTTTTCTCAGTCATGGTCTCCATAATCATAGCAGTTTCTTCATAGCTTTGGATTTTTTCATCAGAGAATTTCTCAATGGATTCTACCATTTCTACCTTCTCATAACTCACAGTGCTTGGTGAAGTTAGTTCCTTATGCAAGCCATCCTGCTTTTTGCATTGTTTCTTTACATAAATTCCTTCTTCATTTTGTTCACTTGGACATGGTGTGGAAAATGGTTCAGAAGCCCCAGTAAATTCCACTTTTGGGAACGCTTCTTTTTTTCCAAATTCTCTCTGCCACCTGGATACATCATCTTCCTTCTCTTTGCCTATCAGTTTGTACTCATATTTAATGTCTTTCTGCATCCTTGATCGCTCTTGCATTCTATGGACTTCGAATTCACTTTTGTAATGTTCAGGAGATCTGGGTAATTCTGGGATTGGTTTCATACCGCGTGATATATTTCCTTCAACATCTGAAACAATGACTCTACCCTTATAAGGAATAGGTAAAGAATGGAAGCAGGTGTCATCATAGCTGCCTTTTTCTGCAATAACTACATATCCTTTAGCATGGAACCCAGTTCTAGGTTCCTGTCTTTGGTAGCATCTGACTTTCTCTTTCACTATATTGCACAATTTGTCAAAAGCTTTGCTTATTTGTGCTCCATCAGGCACATCTTCTTCAGCTTTGCTGGGCTCAGTTTCTTCCTTTGTACCATTCGATCCATGTTCACTTTCTGTGAGTAATCCTTCCTGTTTGGAATCCATCAGAATTTGGTCAAATCTTTCCTGCGGCTGGTCAAACATTTTTTCTAAGGAAGACCCACTAGTAAGATCTTTTGGTGTAATCTCCTTCCTCTTAAACATTTTCTTTGGCAGACTTCTTTGCCGTAACTTGGCACCAGCAATGTCTTGCATGACTAGTGTAATGTCTACATGAATAGAAATAAAAGAACAACAAATATAGCATGAGATGCAGCCCACTAAACATGAAATGTATAATTTGCAAACATTCCCTCAAACAGAGTTGATGAGAATGGCTTTAATGGCATGAAGAACATGTTAGATCAGGCAGCATCTACACTTGCCCTTTGAGTGATACACTCCAACATGTTGATTAAGCAAAGACAAAACCTAAATGTGATTCAATTTCAATCACAAATTTAACTTGATTTGATTTGTTTAATCTTAGTTTAATGCAATTAGTATGATTACTGCTTACATAATTGCTTACATCATATTTACACACATTCTCAAGAAAATATCTGAATGGATCATTCAAATATGTTGAATATTTAAATGGAGCTACTGTATCGAGAAAGAAAAGGAACATCTCCCTCCCTTTATTTTCTCTCTCTCTCTCTGTCTCTCTCTCTTGCTGTCTCTCTCTCTGTCACAAACACACTTTAAGTGGATTACATTTTTAATTTCGTTAGGTACAGTCTATAAAGACAAAGCTACAGCTTTCAAATTTTACTATTACCTACAAAGATGCTCCAAGACCTTATGGATCATTTTACAATATGGACCTCTGCAATACTGTAATTCAACATTACTAGCATAATTGTATAAGGAAACACTGGCATCTACCAGGGTCCTGTTGGACCATAAATGCATTACTGCAATTCATGCAATAATCAAGAAGTTGCAGGAATTTCAAGGGAGGCTCAACAGCACCCAGCCAACAGTTGATCTCAAAAAGCTACTGTAAATAAATCAGATCTAGTCAGCGCTGGAATGAGAGACCCCAGGAAATCCCAGGGCTACAGACTACAGACTAGTTTAGAAAGTTTCTTTAAAAAAATCCTGGGGAATGAGCAAATAGCTTCCCCATTGTTGACAAGAAACTTACGCAACTTAGAGCCTTCAGAAGTCAAGAAAGTGTTACTATTTTATGTAAGAGTGAAAGTTCATTTTAATGAACCAAAATTCAGGCATAATTATTTTATGGATTTCTCAGGATGCAGGATTTATTCCTGACCAATATGGGTAAAAAACTTCATCACAAATATTCAAGTTCCCAATGAACAGAAGTGTTAGTTCATTTTAAAAGTATTGGCAGTATATTCTAGGAACTATGGGGTTGGAGACCTCTCTCCTTCCTAAGCAATTAATAGATGATTCAGTTATTGTCCATCTTTTTTCAGCAAATGATTTTGTTACTAGTAATCCACAAGAAAAGGGTTAACATAAGTCACCTGTGCTCAAGTAATATGAACAATGAGATCAGCATACAGAAACATGGTACACGTGCATGCTGCTCTCACAGGCTAAAATAATTTCTGTAGAGTCTCAATTACCTGTCCCTTTCAAGGTTGGGGTCTCTGATGGTCTGTAGGTCTGTGTAAATAGGGTTACTGGAGTTCCAATAATAGCAGAATTCAATCTATCACCATAGGGAAAAGGGAGAATCAATAAACTCCACCAAAACAAAACCTAAACAACCATTTAAAATAATGACAAGGCAACCCATCTGGGTTACATTCCTGTGGTTATACATATTTGTAATACTTTCCAAATAAGTTGTTTTTATTCCATTCCAAACCTGTTGCCTTAAGATGGACTACTTGATGTGAAATCCTAACTTACCTCTCTATACCAACTTCCCCAAATCCATTGTCATCAAACATTCTAGAACAGAATGTCATACTCTGGCAGGTTCACAAAACGCATATGAATGTCACTGAAAAATAACTGATGAGTAAGAACCTACGCAGAGAGGAACCCTGCTGGAGTAGCTGAGATGCCCCTAAAGTTTGGCAAACGGAAAACGTCCTGTGGTAAGAAATAAAACAAAGTGCTCCAGATTTCACATATCCAAAGCCTACTCAATCCCTGAAGTTTTCAGTTGTCTAAAAGAAAAGTCAGAGCTGCTTCTGCTCACCATTCCTGAAGGTTACTCTTTCTCTCACTTCCCTTTAAGCATATAATTGGACCATATAGTTGCACCTCCTCCGCCTTAAAAAGATATGTGGATTAAAAAGTTTCCCTGCATGTACTTTCCATGTTTACTCCACTATAAAAGTCTTCTACGTGTGCAGAGGTGGACATGCTTCAGAGAAGGTTTGAAAATCCTCATACTATAAGGCACCCATGATAGAGAACCACAGAGAAGAACGTGGAGAAGCAAAATATGATTTAAATCCAAGAAAGTCAGAGAATGTTAATGTTAATCTGGTTTTGCCTTAAGTCTCTTTGATGAAATAGAGAGGGAAGAAAAACACAGTTAGACTTTCAAGATTATGTTATTATAATGTATATCAAAAGTGTTCCAGTATTTCTTGTGGACTCCATTTCCTGATCTGGCCTACCTCGAAAGACTGGCTGCCAGCATGAGCTTCTAAGCACATCTACCTACACATTCATAAAGACCACATTTAAGTCATCCTACTAAAATGAAAGGGAATGAATCTAATCAGAGTAACATTTGTGCCTGTCTTTAACTCTTACTGACCAGCAAAATGTCTTAACAGGAGTTAAGGAGGAATGTATACCAGAGTACTTTCTGTTCTGAAACGCCATTTTGCCAATATTTATTTATTTATTTTTGCAGTTGTTGTTTTGTGGTCACACATGAATAAATACAGGACAATATATTTGCAAGCAGGCAATTATGATTTATGGGCATAATATTGTCATGGCAGTTAAGAAAAGAGGAGTTCTCTATGCTTAAATCACTTTGATTTAAAAGAGGAAAAAGTTCTACAAACCACAACTATGGTTAGACAATTGGAAGAGAAGTGCTATGAATGCAGATCTTTTCTAGAAGATTTAAAATTATGTGAATGATTAATTCTCTCTATGCACATCTCTGAAACTACTGCAGATTTACTGATTTATTTTTTAAAAGATACATGATTATTGATAGTAGTGCAAAGAGCTACTCTTAATGTCAAAAGAGTTGAAACAGAAAAGCAACCATAAATTAGTTGCCTTAAATCTCTGGTTCCTTACCCAATTAAAAACAAAGTTTGAAGGGGAAAAGCTGGCTTTGTATTCTTACAGAGTTGAAAATCAACAACTACCAACTGTAGCTGGTAGTATCTCAGCAACAACAGAAAGTCATGCAAAAAGCCCGGAAAAAACACCTAGGACATTGACGTAGAAATGCTATTGATGGATGACTCAAGGAATATGTCATGGGCTTCTAAAGTGAGTAATATATTCCATACCAATTAAAATTGGGTGCTGCACAACACTGGAAAATCATGTTTTCGTCTGAGAAGCTTAGACACCCAACAAAAATAGAGAAACCTAGGAAGCTGTTATAAATAGTCGTATTATTTAAAATATTGAACAATATGTTCAAGACCCGAATGTTAACCATTGAAATGATTTCTTAGACAAAACCTAATGAAACTCTAAGCATCACTGTCTATGGAGATTCTCAATCATCCAAGTCGTGGTTGTCCCAAAGGTGCTTTTCAAAAGGCAACTGGACTTCCTTGGTTTTTTCTTGAAAACATTTCACTTCTCACCCAAGGAGCTTCTTCAGTTCTGACAGAATGGTGGGGAATAGGAGGATTTATATTCTTTGCAGTCATCTGTTCATAAGCACTCTGAAGATCAGCCATTAGCTCTCATGACAGACTTCCAGAGTGCTAAAAACCAGATGACTGCAAAGAATACAAATCTTTCTATTCCCCACCATTCAGTCAGAACTGAAGAAGCTCCTTGGGTGAGAAACAAAATGTTTTCAAGGGGAAAAAAAATGAAGGAAGTCCATTTGTCTTTTGAAAAGCACCTTTGGATCTGCTGCTTTTTGCTTCAAGAATATCCATACCTGCTATCTTCATTTTCAATTATACGTTTATAACGCTCCAATTCACTCTCTAGGGACTGTTTATAAATGGACAGTTGGCGACACTGGTTGGTGTATTTCTCCAAGGTCCTTTCAGCATCTTCTATGCCCTTTCTCAGACTGTCAATCTGCTCATTATACAGGTGAATCTCATCATTATAGCTCTGCTGGGTGTCCTTAATCACCTGGTCCAGCATTCCTGTCTGTTTTAAAAAAAAGGAAGATGTGAGAGATTGCCTAAAGCTGGTCTGTCTGCTATGGGGAGCAGCACAGTTCACTAACAGCAAAGACGTGGAATACTATCCCATTTCAAAGACATTTCAATGACATGAAACAAATCATTGATACCTGTTGGTTTCGAGTATTATCGGCATTAAAAAATAGAAAAAAAATGACCAACATTAACACACCATAACAATGAGCAGCAGGCAAGATGAGAAATCATATTTAGATAGCACAACACCCAAAGTGACACAAAAGATGTAATTTCTTAAAAGTGTTCATATGTCCTAATATAAATAATGCTAATAAAAACCTGCATGTGTGCATCAAAGTTTTAAGTTCATACCTACCCATTATATAGGATTAGTGTAGTACTAGTGTTTCTAATATGTAGAGAAGTGAGTTCTTATGGGTTCAATATAATCCTGAATCTGTTTCTGTAATTATAAAGGTTTCATTGGAAAATTAGCAGCAGGCCATCCCAAAATGGTAGCTTGATTTTTTTTCTTCATTTTTCACTCAAAAGACTAGTGTAGTAAGATTAAGAATAAGATTAAGATTTAAGATTGAGACTACTTTTGTAGACTTAGCGCACCCATTTTACCTCACTCCCTTCTCTCAGACCCCAGTGAATTGTTGATAACTTTATAAAGTCACCCTCCTCCCACTCCACTGACAAAGTTCCTGAATGCCATATCCTTTCAGGGAAAAGCAATGATGCAACTACTGGAGTTCTATAAATGTGTAGTAACATGAACCTGGCATCACAAGAATCTGAAGTGCCAAGGTAAGCAATGCCCTTCTACATTATATTCTCAAGAAAAATTGAAGCCCATTCCTTAATGAATCTCCCATTAAATTAAATTAAATGTTGAGATCCTCTGAGAGGGCTCCTGAAAGCCAAAACATCAAATTTGAATAAAACTATGCTTCTTCTTTCTCCATTCCCCCATTCCAGTGGAATACATATTGACCACCAGATGGTGCTCAGTCACCTGAAAAACAGAGATTTGCTTGACAGGAAAATTTATTATGGCTTCATCATTGTTCTTGGAATACAAATGCAAGAAATCAAATCAACTCAAAATGGTTATTATGATCTTTGATCAACTTTTGCAGTAAAATACAAAACCAACATTGGAAAGATTTATTATTCAAATAATTTGGGAAACTCAAGGGTGTATTCTGTAAAATCTTAATTAATTTTACTCAAATGTATCCTCACAGATCCTGGGAATAATTTCCATTCCTAAGACTGAAGAGTTGGGCACAAGTGAATTGCACAGATTAAATACCCTACTACAATGAACCCTCATGGCTTATGATCTCTCTGGTGTTTTTAGCTGATAGAGGAGAAGAGCAAGTAGTGATTCTAAGATATCCAGAGTGCTAAAAATGAAACAGGCATGATGCCAATAAAACCATGTAACATTAGAGAAAGGAACTGATTTTTGTAATAAAATCTGAGCCTTACTAGTGAGCAAGAGGGCCAAAGTGACACTAATGCAAAAAATTAGGATGCCATCTTTTTGCATAAAATGATTGTCTATGATGGTATATAGGTGTCAACACTACAAATGAGCATGGTTGCAGCCATTTTCCTTCTCATTCTAGGTTGCCACATAGAACGGAGGGAGGGGGGTTGCCCAGGTGCTTTGCTAGTCAAAATAATCTTTTGTCCCATGGGAACCAAGGTCATCGGCTGCTCCCGAGACTAGGGACTGGGTATTGCAATAAAAGCCCACCAAACAACCATATTGGGAAACGTAGTTGCTTGCAGAAGCTTTTATGGGTGGGACATTTAACTTTGTATTGGAAAATTGTTACTTGTGTATCCAAATTTGGTTTCACTCTTGACCGTGCCGATACTTTGAATTTGCAAGCCTTGGAGTTCTGCTTTATTCATCCCTGTCTGTCGGAACCATTACAATAGGAGCATGAAAGAACAAACAGTGATCATACCCACTCCCCTAAAAAGGGGGGAGGGGTGGAAATGGGAGAAAACAGAGGGTTTAATCAAGGGATGATGCAATGCCACCTTCTTCAGGGCAGGTGACATTACACTCTCAGAGAAGCACTGTTTGTCTCCGGGTCCAATTGTTCACATCTGTCAAGCCCATAGGAGTCAATAATACTAAGACTTCAGAGAACTCTATTCCCTTACTCAATTTCTCAAGGTCAAAAGAATCCCAGGTTATACCACAGTGTGCCACCTTGCTCACCATACTATCCAACTTGAGTAGATTCTAGCAACTTTATTCTCTAAGAAACTGGTAAATCCATCTAACATAACTGTAGGAGCTTCGCCCTCTCCTATTCTTAAAAGAACTGAGGTCACTCTGAACTGAACCATTAATGGGAATCTGTGGATGGGATAAGCTCAGAGAAGAATAGTTGAGACCTAAACTATTTCTCAGATAACCTCCTTCTTGTGAAACAATCATGACCCAATCTAATAATCTATTTTTTAATTTAATTTTTTAATGGTTTAAAAACTTTAATCTTAGCTTAAATCATAATATTTGTAAATCACTTATTCTAGAAAAAATAACTTTTTTTTCTTGCAATGATACCTCTGTCTGAAGCTTAAGTTTTTGGGCTTGGAGCTGGGAAAAAATGCCCTTGTATTCATCTAACTGACTCTGGAGTATTGGTATCCTTCCCTCGGTTATCAGCTTTTCCTGCAAACAGAACAGAAGAAGGAAATATGAGTGAAATTGGATTGGTAACAAAGCTTTGACTATAGGTTGGAATGAAGGGGATTGGAAAAATATTCCAATTTTCCTCTTCGCCTGCAACAGGTTTTTAGTAGAAATGTGATAAATAACTTCATTGTCCAGACATCCCACAAAATTGGATGTTATAGGGAAATGGTCAGTAGTAAAGCCTACTGAGGGAAACTTGTGTACAAACAGAAAATATTTATAGCCTTCAGATGTGTTGAGCATCCATTATCCTCTCTTTCCTTGGTTTAAACAAATCTCTGTATTTAGGCTCACACTTGAGCATATATATTTCATTTATACGCAACTGCATTTTCTTCTAGATCAACATGTACACCTTTTTGCAGACCACAACATTAGAACAGCAGCATGTACAACAACTGCATTTGTCTTATGGCATATCTAAAGAACCCCAGATGAATTACTCGTGTTTAATTGCAACTGAAAAAAGTTAAGGAATCTTTTCAGAGAGCTGACCAAGTAGAAAATGCAATATTCTTGCCTCAAAGTGCAGCAGAAAAAGGACATCTCCCAGTTCCTTGCACTATCTAGCAATTGCTCATTATAGAATACTGCCCTAAGCAATCAATATCAAGACAATCAGAGGACAATTGGTGTAGAGTTCAACACATATCAACTCATTAATTGTCTGAAGGACTTGTATCAATAGGTCTATATGAGATACTCTGCCTTGGGGACATACTTTGTGCTATGAAGGCAACAATATTTGCCTCATCAAGATGCAGCAGTTATAAAAACCAGTTTCTCTAGGTTCCTTGACTTGTTTCAATGTCCTTGTCCAACTCTTGCAGTAACTTCAATTGTTGGAAGTGCCAAAGAGGACACTGAAACAAGGTGAAGAAAAGTAATAAGGCATCTTTGCATCACGCTTTGAAAGTGGAGAGAGGGCATTCCAGGATCCAATCTGAGTTGGTCACTGGGACCAGCGGTTCATTCTTCCAAGCTTTCAGACTTGTGCTGGAGCCCAACCTCAAAGAACTTCTCTCTCTCCAGAATGTGTGCACTGGACTGTTTTATGTGTAGTATTTATGTGGTGCCTGGTTATGTGTGGCTTTTAGTTGTTAATTGGGGTGTTAATGGCTAGCTATTAAGTCGCTGATTGTTATTCCCTTGTGCTGCTGCAATCTCTGGCTCCTAAGTACCTGGTAAGCTAGTGGTAAATCAGCACTCCTGACTGACAAGGGGTCAGTTTCCCAGGCTTCAATTATTCCTTTGTGAAGTAGCTTCAAAGGAGTTGTAGCAAAAGGAAAAGGGACGAAGCACTCCTTTGTAGCTTGTATAGATCTACAGTATAATCCTCCAAATTTTGCTATCCTACAGTTTGATCTTATCCTTATCTTATTTTAAAACTGAATGTTTCAATGAACTTAATTTTTCTTCAGGCATTATGAAAATGGAAGGAGCTTGAAAGCAGGGAGCAGGGCTGGGCTTATGGCTGAGACCCTTAGCCTTCCTGAATGCCATATGTTCAGCCAAGGCATGATTAGGAGTTTTTGCTAGAACACAAGTAGAGTTCTCTTCTTAATCTGAGATCATACTAAAGCAGGATTCCAACTTCTACATGTGTACAGTATACATGAACATGATCATGCCCCTGCCAGACTTTCTGGCTGAATATATGACAACTGAATGCTCCTTCCTCTATTCAGTTTGAAACCCTCAAATATTCAGATGTATGCCTGAAGAAGACTTTTGACTGCATGATTTGTAAAAGAAAATTCTTACGTCACTGGCACCAGCCATGATGTTGGACACCGGAGGTGCTGCTTGCATGATCTGTTGTAAATTTCCAATATACGTCTGTACTTCCATGAGGTTCTGTAGCCAGATAAAATAATTATTAAAACTTATTACAGCAAGAAGCTTGATGGAAGGAACTGCACTGCTGAGTTTCTATTTGAATTTCCCCTCTTCTGGAAGAGAAGGAAGCAAAGATGTTAAGAAAAACTGGGCTGCTAGACATTTATCCTGACTAGCTTTATCAGAGTATTCTCTAGCATGCTGCTGTAATTACCTTTCTCAACCGTTCTTCATAGATAGTGCCATTTGGTTTTATATATATGGCATATATCTGCTATTGAATTATATTATTACTACATAAAATGATCTTAACTATAGGTAGTCCCCTCTTAATGTCCATTTATTCAGCGATTCTTAAAAGTTGCGATGGCACTGGACAAAAAAAAACTATGACCAGTCCCCCAAGTTACGGCTGTTGCAGTGTCCCTGTAATCCCATGATCAATCTTTATCTCAGCCAAAAAGCTTGGGGGAAGAAGGGTTTAATTATACAATCTGCTAAACCACTTGATAGGATTGAACCAGTATGTTTCATTTCAGGAGAACGTCTATGGAGATTCTCAGTCATCCAGGTCACGGTCGTCCCAAAAGTGCTCCTTTTCAGGAGGTATCTGGACTTTCTTGTTTTTCTTTGAAGACCTTTCGCTTCTCATTGTAGACTAGAGCAGTGGTTCTCAACCTGTGGGTCGGGACCCCATTTGGGGTCGAACGACCATTTCACGGTGGTCGCCAAACAAGGCTGTCCGCCAATTTTTCCCCCTTTTCTTTGGCCACACCCCTGGCACCCAGTGATGTATAAGTGGTTGGGGGTCACCACAACATGGGGAACTGTGTTATGGGGTCGCGGCATTAGAAAAGTTGAGAACCACTGGACTAGAGAAACCATTTACGCTTCAGTTTGAGATGCAGACAACACAGCAACTCATCCCCAGCAGCCTGCACCTGTCTTCAACAGTGAAAGGACACAGGGCAGAAAACATCTTGCAGCCAAGAAGGCTCCAAACCCATCTGCACTAGTCAGGTGACCCTGAGGATACAGATAAACCTCCAAATGGCCTCAATGACTCTCTAAAAGAATGCAAATGACAGCTGTCTGCAAGGAATATAAATCCTTCTATTCCCCACCATCCAGTCAGAAAATGAAGAAGCTTCTTGGATGAGAAGTGAAACGTCTTCAAAGAAAAACCAAAAGTCCTTGGGACATTTCTGGAGAATATGAAGATGAGCAGAAATAACCATACCTTGATGGAAATTGAATCCCAAAAAACCAGCAGGACTTGAATTTGGGTAGGGGCAGAACCCTTCTCATTCTTAATTTTAACTTTTTAGAATAAGGAGGAGCTCTGAACAGCTATTTCAGTTTCTTTGTAAAAGAGGCCTTATAGAAGTATTGTTGGTAGGAATCTCAAGTATAGGGGAAAAGGTAATTGTTAACAGAAGCAGGAGCAGAGCTGGTTAAAAAGTAGATCTCCATCTACTGGAGGTATCTAATATATTGTCAATGATTTTAAAACGACCTAATATTTATAAATTGTTATCACAAAATAACACCCAAACCTAAATTCCTGCCAAAAATTAAAAAAAAAAGTATTAAGAAGGCAAGCTCATGTTTTGTGCATGAAAGAACTCTGAGTTTGGTTTATATCTGATACTTGAAGCAAATTTGTGCGTTAAGAATTCTTTTACTCTAGATTAAATATGGAACTAAAAAGTTCCATTTATTTTATGATTAAATTTTAAATAATAATTATTATTAATAGCATTTTATAATGGAAATTATTTAGTTTATTTACTGTTATTATGGTTCTTTATAATAATTGTTTTAAAATGGACTTGTTTATAGTATTATGATATTAAGGTTTAAAGGGAGTTAAGGGTTAAGTATGAATTTAGTTATTGTATAATTTGTTAAATTTAATTAGATTTTGTTTAATATGTTTGTAATAACCCTGTACTCGGCTCTGGGAAGTGGGGGGGTAGGGGGTGGGTGGTTTGTGGGTTTAAAATTTTTTTTGTTAATTATCAATAAAACTTTTTCAATAAAAAAAAATAAAGAATTCTTTTACTCTGTGTAACTTTCATTTTCCACCAAATTGTAGATGATAAGTACCAGTATAAGAAAAACCAAAAGAAAACAAACAAAAAAAAAACAACATAGCAGATCTCTTCAATCCATCCCTAAGCAGAACAACCCTTTTACCAGGTATCTCTCTTCTTTTTTTTGCCCAGCATGGATTTACATATATGAAAGGAGACTTGTATTAAAAGGGAAGGAACAGCTTCATTTGTTAAAATTTGTTTGGGAAATATTGATGAAAACGAGCAGCTATAAGACTTACCTTCTTATATCTGTCTTTCGTGGCATTTACATCATCTTGCAAGAACTGTGATTCAATCTGGAGTTCTAAATTACATAACAAAGCTTCATCAGCTTCCTGATATAAAAAACAAAACAAAATATTATTCTCTTTTGTCCTTTTATTTCTGATTTTAAATAAATATTTGAGTCACTAGTATTCAATGGAAACACTGGACTTTAAAAATCTATAAAGTCATCTCTTGCCATAACTTATATAACAGATTGGAAATTGATTAATGTAAAACTAGGACGGATGACCTTCAAATAATACATTTATTTGCAACATGCATATACAAAAATTGAAATCTAAATAATCGATAGACATTTCAAAACTGATAGGCAATTGGACTGAATAGGTAGTCTGCTGCACTTAGGTAGAACTGCATACCAAATAAATATAACAAGGAAAAAACAGTTCCTTGAATCAAAGGTGATTCTTAAAGATTCCAAAGTCACATTTATGCAGTTTTCTTGGCAATAAGGTAGAAGTGGTTCACCGATGCTTTCCTCTGGGATATGTTTCAACTTCCCAGTCTAAATGACCAAGCTGAGATTTCATGGTGGTTTCTCCCCCTCCAAGTACTAACAAGATCTGGCTCTACTAACCTTTTTTCACTTATATCTCCAATCTATTTCATTGGGCTTCCATTTAGATCCATTAGATGCATTTTAAGGAGTTTTGCTTTTAAAGGAAAATCATTATATAAAGAATACTTATTATCCATGCTTTGTTTGTCAGGGGCTAAAACACTGGTTTGCTATGTAATATTAGGACAAATGGACAAAAAAAATACCCTTTTTGAAAAGAACAATCAGAGGACTTTCTCAATTTTGAACACACCTGTAACAGCTAGTAAACTGTGCAAATCACAGTCAATGCAAGCACATCAGGGTCCATTTTCTCATTTAGCTAATGAAATGTAGCTTGTTCAATTTTCAGTAACATCACCTCTATCAGCTGTACTACAGTCCCATTTCTGGTTAGGCAATGTGATGGGGAGTTATTCATAAGTTTTGCTTTTGTGATAGGCCCAGCAAACTAATTCCAAGCTCTGTGGTGCTATTCAAAAATGTGTAGATGCTTGCTGTTTCCATTATACCCATGGATTGTAAAAGTAGCACTGCTGTTGTGCTGGTAATGATAGTAAAAATAAAGCATAGAATTTCGCTACAAGCCTAGTTATCTGCTTTGTGAGCAGATAAGATTTATGAATGCAAATGACAAGTGGAATATTCTAAGCCAGCAGTCATCCATTTGCTCACTGTTTCTCTATTTTCCTACGGAAAGCTGAATCGGAAGCATTACAATGAGACCGTGAATCCACTGATGGGCTGAGAAAGACAGTTAGATACTGCTGATGGGTACATATTTAGGAAAATAGAATAACATTAAACTTTAGCTTAAAAAAAATTAGATATATTTCTTTGGGTATTCATCAGACATCTGGAAGCCAGGATTGATGATGCACTGCATACAGAGATACATTAGGTGACAACTAATTCAAACAGTATATGAAGTTCTAACCCCAGTGATCTCATCATATGGATGAGAAGAATCATTTTCAGTGTTATTGTAATTAGTTGAGCCTGGTTACAATTGGCTCAGGGTTTTTCATTATAGTAGGTCTGTTTTGTGTGTGCGTCTGTGTATGTGAGAGATTCCTTAACATAATTTATCAGCATTTCTTTCCCTAGGCCAAGGATCCCCAACCCCTGGTCTGTGGACCAGTACTGGGCCGCGGCATGCCAGGAACCAGTATGCACAAACAAGCAAATCCCCATCCACAGGATGCAGGCAGCACACAAAACCACGCACCCTCCGGTCTGTGGAAAAACCTCTCTTGTGCTTAAAAGGCTGGGGACTTCTGCCCTAGGCTATAAAGGTGGTTCTTGACTTATGAGACCAGAATAAACAAGGGGATTGATAAGTGAATCACACCCAATTTTACAATCTTTTTGCTGTGGTTGTTAATGAATTGTTTAATGAATCAAGCAGTTGTTAAGGAAACCCAGCTTATCCTTCATTGACTTTGCTTGTTGGAAGCTGGCTGGGAAGGATTGCAATAGTGACCAAGTGGCCCTGGATGCTGCAACCACTGTAAGTACATTCCAGTTGCTAAGTGCCCAAATTTTGATAAAATGACCATGGGAATGCCGCAGTTGTGAGGACTGGTCATAAGTCACTTTTTTCAATGCCATTATAACTCTGGTCACTGATTGAATAGTTGTAAGTTGAGGACTACCTGTAAAAGTTAGTCAGGAATATGTTGGCATTGTGCAACTGCTGATTAATGTTTCCTCCCATGCTTGGGTCTCAATTTCTAACGTATATTCACTTATCTCCTTTGTGGTAATACAATGCTTATCAATAAGGTCTGAAAGAAATTTGTCATCTAAAAACATTCTCAGCTCTTCATAAACCATACGTTGTAATCTTGACTCTTTGCTTGCCTCCCCATCCCCAAATAAAAGTGACGGATAGGAAGATTTTGCATCTCAGTGCATATGATATTATCAACTGTTATGTCAAAGAACATAATTCTGAGCATTAGCTATATGGAAACTGCCAAGCACAAAACACTGGGGGTGGGGAAGAATTATAAAATATCCTGTATAGACATCAAAAACGCACAAGAAAAATACTAATATTTGTTTCAGTGTAAATCTCATTATAGTATATTTGCTTTCAGGAAACAGCAAGCATCTTTGGTGCCGTTTACCTACTCACCTAATGTTTACAAAAGTAGAGTATGCCTATTTCAATTGTTAGGTTGGGCCTTTAAAATGAAACTGAAAATGTAATAAATAAGACTGGGATCAGTCATTAGCACATATAGTTCATGAAATCTGGATAAGATTCAAATCCTAACTCATCCAAGAAGCTCCCCACAGAGACCTCCTTGGCCCAATTATTTTACCTTATAAAAATGAAGACTACATTTTCTACTTAAATAGGATAATCTCATGCATATGGTGCTGGTATAATATTTAAAACTGGACAACAAAACCACATGTTGGATTTCATCCAGGTTTACTTAGTTGTAAATGACTAAAGCCAATAGAAATGAAATCAGTCATGACTACGTAATCAACATCCCATAGATTTGTGGAGTTAGCAGGAATGGCAATGGTTTTCTGAGGCAGGTAGTCCAAAGAGACAAAAAGTAAACAGAGTTCATAAGTGTTTTTTTTTAAAAGAAAGGATAAAGAATCCTTCAAATCCCTCCAATATCTGAAAATTCCAGCCCCACCTGCAATTATGACACATCTTCATTTCAAATAGCAGTTATCTACTTCCTTTCTCTATCACAAATGTTAAGAACAGCCACCTGTGATCAAAACACAACTCCATTCTTGGCAGCGCAGACCGGCAGTGGGCTCTCCTGAGCTCTTTCCGCAATGTGTGCTATCCCTCTGCACCCCTCCTGCAAATGCTGGCTTTCAAAATATGAAATTATTGCACAATCCACTGGGTGGAATGTATGCCTATGTATGTGAATGCATGCATACATATAGGAAGGAAGGAAGGAAGGAAGGGAGGGAGGGAGGGAGGGAGGGAGGGAGGGAGGGAGGGAGGGCACTGCAGTGCACTTCTATGTAATCTCTGTACATATGTTTTAAGTCAGGAAACATTTTTAAAAACTTACACAACAAGCTACATAGATTTGCAAGATCAGATGGCCTTTAAGAGTATCAGTATTATGCTCCATCTCTTTCCCTCCAATATTCGTTCTGTATGAAAGCATAGGATAGGCCATGTTAGGACAATGATTCCAGTTTTCTGTGTAACTGATTGCATTTGATGATTAGCAAGTTTAATAAATTAATTGACCTCCCTCAATAAACCACTTATTTCTTGCCTTGCTGAGCAAACTTATCTTACAGTACATTCAAAATTATTTCTGTACTGCAAATGTTCTTTGGTTTCAGTATTTTTAGGGATGGGATAACTTTTGCCCCCAGATTTTTATCTTGGCTGATTATTTTTTCAGATGGTCTAGAAGCCAAATTATTTGGACAATGTTGTTATTTATTCACTATGTATGTTCTGTGACAACCAATTTCAACTAATAGCTTGTTTGCAAGCTGCCATTTGTGAAAATTGCATTAGCTGTATGGTATTTACAATCTGTGACAGGTCAACTCATGTCAGCTGAAAGGATATGTGTCCTTGATTGAATTACATTTGCAATCAAAGAAGCCCTAAATCCCCTGGCCTCTTGTCTAATGAGCAATTCATTACGTTTCTTTCATTCGCAGAATCTACACATTGTAACCTCCCTTGCTGAGTTTCTTAGTTAAATGGCTGGATGCTTGAAAGCCCAGTTGGAGAGAAATGGGCCAAAAGGGATTGCTGCAAAAAATATCAGGAAAGCAGAATGGGGATGCTACATTGCACTGTAGCCTGCTTCCTTCAAAATAGCAAAATATCCTGATATGTCATGATAGTGGGATCCCCAAATTTATACCTTGTTTTTGATGAGATAATTTTAAGGATTCCTCAGGCCTCCAGCCCATTTCCCCATCAATCAGCTGCCAATCTTACATTCAGGCCATCCACCCTGGTCTTCCCACTGCACACGCATCAACCTTTGCAGCACTTCTTTCCCTAGCTCCTTCCGTCAATCAACCCTTCCCCAGTGATCTTCCCAGTTCTTTCAGCCTTCATTTGAATTTTATTTTAACTTTTTATGCTAATAGGTTTTCAAAAGTTTTCATATCCTCAACCTTCCTTGTGTGTCCACAATTTGGAACACTTCCTTGCATCAAAGGAAGACCAATCTGGCTGCAAATCTACACTTTTAAAGATGAGTTTTGTTGTAAAACGAGAATGGCAATTGATGTAAAGATGCAACATTAGGATGACAAAGTAAAAGCCGAAAAATTATATAGGACTAAAATAAAATGAGCAGTAATGGGATTCAGTTGCCTTTGTCTAGTGCAGGGATGTCAAACTGCCAGATGCATCATAGCGAAACTGCGACCATCCCATTGCTGGCAATGGAAAAAAAAGTTGTGATATGTCATGACACATCACGTGACATTGCGAGTTTGACGTCCCTGGTCTAGTGGAAAAGGATTCCAGGCAGCAAGAGTGAGATGGAATTAAGAAAAAGAAGTTGATCGGAGAGGGAGATTTTGCCATACCAAGACTGATTGGCAAACCATGAGTGCATAGTTTTGAGATACTAATACCATAATTTCATAAATGCTTACTCAGTAGGCAGAAATGCTGAAAAGGGGCTCACTCACAAATAAATATAGAATTGCAAACAAAATTGGGGTGGGTAGGGTAAGAACTAGAAATATACAAATATGCTTATTTCATCTATATGTCCATTTGCTACATACACAGAACACCCTGGTTGTTGTCAACTTATGGTAAACCTCCTGAATTATACTGTGAAATTAAATTTTCTTGGAATACTGGAAATTGAGGTACCATCGTGTTGGTGTCAACTCTTAGTGCCCACAAAGATAAATTTTCTCCAAGATTATCTGACCCCCAACCTGACATCTTCTGTCAGTGCACCATTGTCAATGTCATAAAGTCCACATACCTCTTTGCTGCTTGTCTTCCTCTTCTCTTTCATTTCACCTGTCCCAGAGGTTTAAGGAAACTAAATATTTGCATAATGTACCCAAAGTACAACAAATATTGGAAATAGTATTTGTTTATAGCAGAAGCATTGGACTAAGCCAGGCCAACCAATTTATTGCTTGGACCCTCACGCTACTGTCTATCAAAACACTTACTCATTATTAGGCAAGGAGAGCTAAAGGCTGAGGCCAGAAAGCACATTTTTTCTGTTACTGTGGAACATCCTCCCCCAAAAAGTTAGATTATATTTAGGGTCACTCTTCCAGAAGTCTTTTTCAGAAAGACTTTTGGGAATGATCTTATACCAACAGTATTTGAAAATCTTTTTAATGTATCCACCATTTTTTATTTTATTGTATTGTTTTACGACATTATTTGGAGATAAATTAATTTTCATTTTTCTCATCATGAGTGTTTTATTGAATTGTGCTGTTATAAACCTTGGGATTCAATGGCATACGTATTATTATTGTTATTATTCAGATACACTTTTAGTTTCTTTTCTGATACTGAATCTTACTTATTCTCTCTCTCTCTCTCTCTCTCTCTCTCTCTCTCTCTCTCTCTCTCTCTCTCTCTCTCTCTCTCCATGATGAAATAGATATTACTGAAAAAGGTAATTGAATTGAACTTGTTGAGGTGGTAGAAAGAAAGACGAAGAGGTACAGAAGAACAGTAGAAAAGGAAATAGGAAGAAATGTCATATGAATGTGTGTCAGGAGTGAAAGATCAGATCACACATGAAATTCTAATTAAGCCGATTTATTGCTCATGCCTATACACTGGAATCTACTCAACTAATGGCTAGCACTATTTTGCTGCTAGATAAGGGTTAAGGGAATTTAAGAGGGTTTGGATTTAATCCATTTGTGACTATATAGTGACTCTAGGCTGATTCCTCTTTTGATTCTGCCCCCTGGTTCTGTCATTCCTCCTACACAGTGTGACTGATAGGAAATAAGACAGACCAAAATTATAGTAGATTCTTCAGTTGAGCTGTCTGTTTAACACTAGTAATTTCTTAGTGTTCTGCTCTGAAATAACTTCCCCTGAATTCAGCACTGTTTATTCTCAAGAATGTGACTAGAACTTTCGCCTAAAACTTTGCTCTTCTTAAAACTATAAAAGAAATATTAGGATGAATTACATCAACAGAATATTTCTCCTTGTATTGGATTTCATAGTCGCAAATAATAGCATTAGAGTTTGATTAGTGTTTTTGCCCAAATCAAAAATCCACAACCCCCAGGTTTGATGTAATACCACTCCATCAAAAGTTACATATAAACCATAGCTATATAAAATAAAAGTTTACATTGATGGACTAATCTTTCTCACTCAGCCCTTAGAGTTTTTATTATGGGAAGAAAATCAACAAGAGAGGTTGCTATGTATATTCACTTTAACTTTTGGGGAAAAAACAAGATATAATTCTAATACTTTTTTTCAACATGTAAGAAAAGCATAAAAGTCCAGAAAAGTGAAACAGCTAATTTTAATTCTAACACATCCTCCCAAAGGGAGGTGGGAGGAATAATTGAATATTAAATTATTAATATTAAACATTATAGTATTTAAACAATTATTACATTTAATAATTGTTTAAATACTATGAGAGCCAACTTGGTATAGATGGTTAAAGGTTAGAAACTGGGAGAGAGTGAATTCTAGTTGTTCTTTAGGCATAAAGCCAGGTCAGTGACTTTGGGCCAGTCAATCTCTCTTACCCCTGGGAAGAAGGCAAGGGAAGTCATGTCTGAAAAATGTTGTCAAGGAAACTATGTGGACATGTCCAGGTAGTCACAAGGAGTCAGGATAGTTCAAAGGATATCCACCCACACAACTCTTTATGTATCATTTGTTTGCCAAGGAAACCAGGTTTTGTCATGGCTCCCTCAAAGCCTCTTTTGGAGGAGGAAGAAGAGTTGGAGCTGGGACAGTCTGAAAGGGAAGGCATGTCAGGGGCTGAGGATTATGCTGTCCTGAGCCCCCTCAGGCACTGGTGGGGGGGAGTCGACCAGATGGTAAGTTGCCTGCCTGCACAGACACAGGGGAGCATCACTGACCGGCAGTGATGCTGATAGGCAGCCAATCTTCCTCTGATGAGGAACAGTTGCCTACTCCACTCAATCCAAGGGCAAGGAGAGTGGAGCATAGGCAAGCCCAGAGAAGGGCTGCAAGGGAGAAGGTCAATCCACCCCTCCTCACAATGAACCCCTGGAGGGGAGTAGCTTAAGGAGAAGCAGTGGGAAGCTAGTCTTTGCTAGGAACAATTGTTTACCTTGGCTTACACTCCCCCCCCCCAGGTTTTACTCATGCCTGTTACTGTTTGCCTCGCCTTGCTTGGAAGATTGCTCTTTGCATTTTGTTTTGGACCTCGCCCTTGTGATCTACATTTGGCCTTTGTTTCACTGGGGATTTGGAACTGCTTCTTTTCTGGGACCTGTTTCTTGTCCTGAGGACTGACCTTGTCTTGTGCCTGGATCCTGCCTGGTGGATTGGAACCCTGGACTTTGCCCTGTGAGCATGCTCTACTCTGTGGGCTTTCTTTGTACTACTGGGGCTATGTTTTGGAGTCTGAGGGTGGCTGCCTTCAGGATAGTGTGAGGGTGGAGCCTTACCAGTTGTTGGAGGGCCATTGACTGGAACATTGGTTAAGAGAAATAAAGAACTCTCTAAAGGCTTGCCTTGCCTTGACCAGCTGGGTCATAACAAGTTTTGTTTAAAAAGACAATTGTTGGATGATGGAGGGCACTCAGATACAGTATGTGATTGATTGCACCCTCTTTTTCTATGTATATAAGTAAAGTGTTATACTTTACTTTCTAATACCCTTAGATTATATAAAAATGGCATTTTAAGCTTCTAAACATTTTAAAGCTGGAAAATGCAATTCCCCTCACACAAAACCAGCAGCAGCAAATGCAGATACTACTGCAAAAGTGATAGTATTAAACATGCCTATCTTTGTGTTACTACTGGCTGTCAGTACTAATAGCAATAGCACTTAGACTTATATACCACTTCACAATGCTTTACAGCCCTCTCTAAGTGGTGACAGCACATGAAAAGCAGCACTTATGAAAAGATCCCCCGGTAAAAAAGGATGAGAATATTACATTTGATATAATGAATTTACCTTATTAAGCTGTTCAAGAGTACTTTTCTGCTTCTTCTGATATTCACATTCATTTTTATATCTAAAAGAAGACAAACAAAAATGCAAGTAAACCCCACTGATACATTAGAAAGAAAATTTCATTCAATTCTAATTGGAAACCATTCTTCCTATTTGACTTAAGACATGGCTTCATACCATATTCAGAGTTTGAATTTATCCCTGCATAGAGTCTATATTTTAGTTTTACAGGATATCTATATTAGAACAGATTTCAGTGACATGGATTGAATTTACCATAGTATAAAAGATTACCTGGTGAATGATGCTGTGTTGACCATGGTTCTTGGTATTCATTTAGAGTGGATTATTCAAAATTAATTGATAATAGACTGGAAAACTATGATCTCTGAGATATTTTTACTATTTAGAGCACTTTTAAAGTCCTTGTTTATTAACTTATATTTTATTCCTCTATCTTGGTTATGTCTATTTATAGATCTTCTTTAAAATGTAATAAGATTTTTTTTAGAAAAAAGTTTTTAAAAAGAAAATAGCCAAATGCCTCAAACATCTTTGCATTTTCATACAAAGTTTATGGATACATTTGGACATAATATTAAACTAGGAAGGGAAAACCCACTGGCTGAGGAATTCTGGGAGTTGAAGTCCACAAGTCATAAAAAGGCCAAGTTTGAAGACCCCTGATCTAAGAGGCTGATATAAGTGCAAATCTAACATCCTGCTGGCCTTGGGCTTTCCTCCATTTTCTCTCCTCCTCCTGCATTGCTGAGAGGAGAAATATAGAAGCTGCTGCTTTTACTTAACTGTGGGATTTGTCCAAAATGGCAAATTATTTTTTAGTTTAAAGCAAGCCAATTTTAAACCATGGCTTATTAAGTTAGCTACATTAAATGAGCTATAGTTGCCAGTTTAGCTGAATCCACAAATTGTGGTTGATTAAAACCAGAGACAAATCTTTCCAAAAGATTCTTTCTCTTGTTGCACAAAATTTGCAGGAAAAGAGAAAGGTAAGTCATGAGCCCAACAGGAAGCCAAGCATAGGAGCTTAGAAGAGCCTTTCTTAACAGGGATTCCATAAGAGGTCATGAGGGTTTCCATGAGAGATCATGACTGGGGGGGGGGAACTGACATTCATGTGTTGCACAATGCTAACTTCTGCACAAGTAGGAATCCTTATGGACTGCAACCTAGCTACCATCCTGCCATTTTGTTATTGCAGTAAATCTTATAAAAGTTGGATCGTGAAAGTTAGAAGTAAATTGCATTATGAGGTTTTGGGATTTTCTACAAGGGTTCCCAGTAATCTGATCATTATTTCAAGGATTCCTTTCCAGAATAAAAAAGATTGGCTTAGGCTAGGGTTGTGTTCTGTATTTATATGTTTATGATGTCCCATATAAACTGTGGAAGAAAATAGAATAGGAAACAATCCAAAATATACGACAGAATTTAAATGGGCACACTTTGGATCCTATCAATTAAGGAATATTGTCAGCCTTCCCTGTAGCAGTGCCTGCCTTCTAGAATAGAGGTCCCAAATCTTTTGGGCACCAGGAACCGGTTCTGTGGAGAGGGGTTTTTCCGCAGACCAGAGGATGCATGGTTTTGTGTGCTGCCTGCATCCCACGGATGGGGCTTTGCTTGTTTGTGTGGACCGGTTGCTGGTGTGCCACGGACCGGTACTGGTCCATGGACCAGAGGTTGGGGGTCCCTGTTCTAGAATAATACATTTCCAAAGGGATCCAAAATAGACTCGCATCCTGATGGTAAAAATCAGGAAGCTGTTAAAAAGTTGGCCATTCCCCCAGACTATGGGATCAGGTGATAGTTGAGCTTCCTTAGATGAGTTTGTTTCAGAACCACACATAATTTCTTGTTTGTGTTTTGTATTTTTCTTATTTTTTTTAATTGTAAGCCTTCCAAACACACTGGAAGTCAAGTAGTCTCTAAATTGTACACACAAACAAATTACAGCACTTTGCAACTGGCAGACCTGTATTAATGACCACTGCAAAAAAGGTGTTAAAATCGGTCGTGGTCTCATGGTGATCTGCTTAATGACTGCAACAACCATAATGCCAGGCTCAATTGACTGTTTCCTTCATTTTTCTAAACAAAATAAAAGAAAGGAATTATATCTGAAAATAGAATAAATATTTTCAATCGTTGTAAAATAAGTATTCCATACTTTGGGGATTTTTTTTTGTTTGTTTGTTTCTTTTAACTCTGTTACTACAGAAAGAAAACAGGAAAAAAAACACAACCCTTTGTTTTCAAAGATATAAGGAGCCAGATTAAGAAAAATAAATGAACGATGCTAAGAAACAAAGGAGAGATTGGGCAGGACATGTATACGTAGCAAGAAATGAAATGATCCGAATGTCTTGAATGCCCTCAGGATAGAAAAGTCATTTATAATTTGCATAAATGGTAAAAGAATAATAATCACAACATTGCTACATACATTCAAAACACTCCATAAAGCATTGGAGGTGATCACAATCTGTGAAAGCTATTGATTGGTTAATTGAGTGCATTTCATATTCCTTTTCAGCATTTTTTTTCCAAATTGAGAAATATTTCCTAATTAAGTATTTTCTATGGAAATACAAAATTTACTTTCAAAGCACCAACCTTACGACTCCATTCCTGATACAAACTCATTAGATTAGCTCAGTAGCCTAAATCCTTCCAGATATTTTTTTTCCTTTCTGCATCACTATTATATTGTACTTATTTATGAAAATTTACAGAGCATCAGATGCCACTGCATTTCATACTTAATTATTCTAACTTTCTCCTCACTGTGCCTTTATGAAGGAAAAATTTGAATAGATGTGCCCTGTACTTTTGATTGCTAATATTTTCTTTGAGCACACAGATGCAGATGAGAGCTATCACTGCTACTGGAAGAGAATGTTGGACATCATCACAAAATGCCACGAAGACCCTTATTTCTTTTCACTTTCACAAGCGAAGTTCCTAGGATCCTTGTTTTGCTTTTGTGGGATTGCTTACCCAAAGCCACAAAAAAGATTGTTTTGTACCTCCATTTAGAAAAAGCCAAAGGTAGATGACACAGTTTTGGAGAACCAGGAAACTCTATGCATCCATCTGCCATAATGAAGGCATCTACTTCATCTCCAACCAACTTACTTGTTACAGTATTCATCCAACATGCGCTGAGCGTCTTTCTTCTCACGTTCCAGCTTAGATCTGTTGGTGGACAGGTCACGGACTCGCTGGTGATTGAGATCAATCTGAGCAGCAAAAGCCTCTTCTAATCCAGCCAGCTCATCCATGCGTTGGAATGTCTCAAGTTGCTTGCGGAAGATGGCGTTACGCTGCTCAAGCACCCGAGCCCTGTTGATGTAGTTTGAAAACTGTTGACTAAGTTCCTGCAGGTTTTCCAGGCCTTGGGCTTGTGCAAGACCACCAAATTCCGGTGACTCTGGAAGTTCTTCATAAGCATCTGATTGTTCATACTTCTCCTTGTGGATTGCATGCAAGTAGCTGCTCCTATACATGGCAGAGTAGGGAGCGGTGGGTGAGCCCAGGAATCTCCCTTGTCTGTGTCTTTCCAGTTTGAAACACCAAAACTGGGTCTTTTCTGCTCAAATGTGTTTGAACCCTGGGTAGACTCAGTTCTCTTGTGAAACCCAAAATAACAGCTCAATCTAAGACTCTACAACTCCTAAGCTCACTGCAAGAGAAACAAAACAAAATTAGACCATCCTGCCTTCTGGTTCTTGATAGTGGTGGTTTTAAATTCTGTCAGCACTTTTTGCTTTCTTTCCCACCAGTTTTTTCAACTGCATGTGATGCCGGGGGTGGGGGGAGCAAAGGGAGAGAGCTGTATAGTTTTTGCTGAATTGATTACAAAGCAAGAGAGAAGCAGAATACAAAAGACATGTGGCTTTACAGGATGGCTCCCAAACATTCCAATGGGTTTTTGTTCTATTTTGTCTATCACAGGGTGTTTGACTGAGAGTAACACATTTAACTAATGCCTGGAGTAATTTTGACTTGGCCTGGCTTTAGAAACTGAATCCTAGTGACAAAAAAAAAAGATATTTAAAACTTAAAAAGAACCACACTTCTACCTAAGAGCACTTTTAGCATCTAGATTATCATGATTCCTATGCTTTTTCCTTGCATAGCCTCACTTCTCAGAAGTTCATATGCTGTTCCAGAGAAAGAAGCCTCTATTTTTCAAATAGCCCAGGACTGAGGTAAACTCTGAGAAATGTATAAAGTGATCTCCTCTCATTTTATCATCAGAGGTAGGGCTGAGAGTGAGTGTCTCAAAGTCATCCCATAAGAGGGACACAAGCCAGATTCTCCCTGCTCCATAATAAAAGAGACCCCTTGGTCAACACTTAAAGGTAACTAGATCCATTGTTACTGAAATTAAGTAATGCAATTGATAGACACTGAGGCCATGGAATCTCACAATTATCTGAGGTAGATAATATAAGGACACTGTAGGGTTAATTCCATTTTGGAAGCTAAGAAAATCCAGCTCCAACTCAAGTCTTCCTCCCTCCTGCACACACATACATACACACAAAAAGGAGAATCTGCTTCCCAACAAATTAAAGGCAGCCACAAACTAACAACAACAACAAATCAACCAAGCTCAGGATGTTATATAACCACAATTTATCCAATATTTGAATGCTGTCAATATTAAAGCATGGCTTCCGGTGACGGCGACGCCGATGGCGGCTGTTTTCAGCCGTCCGCCCTGGAATGTGTCAAAGCCAGCTGAGACAGCGAGCAACAGCCATCTCGCGGCTTGGAATCTCTCTCCCTGGGCGAAGGGGAGGAGATGAGTTTTCCTCGGATAGTGGCAGGGCTCCCTGAGACCCCAAAGTTTTTTTTCTTTGGTGGTTGGAGGGTGAGAGCTCCCACGGAGTCTGAGGTGTTCTCCACATTCCAGGATGCCTTTGCTCTAATTTTTTTGGGGGGCAAAGCTAGACGCTGCTTACACATCTGCTTTTAAAATGAACTTGTGAGTAAAATTTAAAGCAGACAGAGCTGACCAGGGAGATTATATCTGTGATTATTTTGAGACTTTAACTCTGGAAAAGATTTCATCTTCTCTCTTTTCTTATTTGAGAGGGGTGAAAAATGGTGCTGAGATGTTGTTTTTAAGAGTGAAAGGACCGGAACTTCAATTTGAAACAATGTAACAGCTTTCTTTCTTTTTTTTATATATACAGGAGGCTTTTGTCTTTTTCCCCCTCCTTTTGTTTCCTTTCTCTCTCTCTCTTTGTTAAAGGTTTTCTTTTTTAAGATGGCTTCAAAGCATTTTGGAGCTTTTGTTTCTAAAGCCTCAATCTCCTCTTCGGTAATGCAGACAGCTCAGCAAGTTGAGTCTAAATTTCCACCATTTTTCTCAGCTTTACCAGCAGTTTTACCTAAAGACTTACAGGATGCTTTGAAGATAGTGTACGACGGATTGAAAAAGAGATAAGTGAAATTATTGAAAATAAATTTAGGAAATTGAGAGAAGATATAGCGTCTGTGTTTCAGAAGTTTGCTGATCACATAGATCGTTTGGATCAGCATATTGATGTTGCTGTAGAAAATTCTGAAAAATTGGAAGATAAAATAGAAAATAAGGTGGAAATAATTCAGGATGAAATTACTATGTTACAATACAGAAGTATGAAGTTTGCTTTAAAAATAAATGCAGGAAAATAATCAAGAAGATTTGAGACAAGTGGTTGCAAAGAATATAGCTCTTATTTTGGAATCCGAGCCTGAAGAAATATTGAGAAAGACAGAAAAAGTTTTTAGGGTTAATTCAAGGGTTGCAAGACAGAGGAATCTGCCACGAGATGTGGTTATTTATTTTTTTAGTAGATCACTTCGTAATAAAATTTTACAAGCCTTTTACAAGCAGAGATTTCAAATTGCAGCCCAGGATGTTATACTTCTGAAAGAACTACCTTCAAGAATTCTCAAAGTAAGAAAATATTTTGCTTTTCTGGCTGATGAGCTTAAGAGGCGACAGATTCGTTTCAGATGGGAGATACCGGCTGGAATAGTGGTGAACTATGCGGGGATACGTTATAGACTTGATACAATTTTAAAAGCGAAAGATTTTTACACTTCTGTTTTGAAGGCGGGCTCTTTATTACCTACAGCTGAGATATTAGAAGAAAAGTTGGAAGAGCAACCAAGAGAAGATATGCAGGTTAAACTTTTGCAACAATCTCTCTTGACAGAAGATTCATTAATGAAATTGAGTATTTGTGGAGCTTTTAGAAGTAAAATAAAGGTGGAAGAAAAGCTGGAAGAGCAGCTGATTGAAGAAAATATGCAGGTTGAACTTTTGCAGCAGTCCTCCTTAACAGAAGATTCATCAAAGAAATTGGGCATGACTCGTGCAGCTTTTAGAAGTAAAATAAAGGAACAGCAGAAGGTTCTTTGTCATTTTCTAAGCAATAGATAATAGAAGGAGAAGTTGGAATACCAGCCGGCTAGTTATAAAGAGTTTTGTTAAATCTTTGTTATTTAGGGGAAAGTTTAAAATTATGATCTCTGCTTGGGAGAAGACTTGATAGGTTTTAATTTAGTGATTTAATATCTGAGAGTACTTATTATAATTTTTAATAAATGTATAAAGTTAAATTTTTGCTGTTTAGGGGAAAGTTTAAAAGCTTAAAATTATGATTTCCGTTCAAGAGAAGAGTTGATAGGTTTTAATTTGGTGATTTAATATTTGAGAGTACCTATGATACATTATGATATATTAAAAGTGGATAAGAAGCTGTAAGGTTTTGATTTGGGAGAAAAGGTTATTAACAAAATTTATTTGGGTTTGGGAGGGAAAGAGTTAAGAGCCAAGTTTATATTGTTTAAAAGAAATACACATCTCAGTGTGGAGAAGGTGGATAAATTATATGAAGAATAAATATGAGATTTAATGGGTAAATTATAATTAGAGCAGATATGATTAAAAGTATTGTTTGGATTATGAATAATTTTTGTTTTAAATTTGGAATTGTTTATTTGATTTTTATAGTTGATTTTCTTTAATTTGTTTAAATTTGTTTTTTCTTTTAAAAAAAATTGTTTTGTATTTGAGTTAAAGTACTTATTGAGATTTAGTTTGTATTAGTTAAAGTTAAAATAAATATGGGATTTAATGGGTAAATTATGATTAGAGTACATATGATTAAAAGTATTGTCCTGATCATGAATAATTTTTGTTTTAAATTTGGAATTATTTGATTTTGATAGTTGATTTTCTTTAATTTGTTTAAATTTGTTTTGTAAATGTATCTGAGTTAAAGTACTTATTGAGATTTAGTTTGTATTAGTTAAAGTTAAAATAAATATGGGATTTAATGGGTAAATTAGGATTAGAGTAGATATGATTAAAAGTATTGTCTTGATCATGAATAATTTTTGTTTTAAATTTGGAATTATTTGATTTTGATAGTTGATTTTCTTTAATTTGTTTAAATTGTTTTGTATCTGAGTTAAAGTAGCTTACTGATTTTATTATTTGTATAGTTGGATAGGTTTAGTTAGATTTAGTTTGCATTAGTTAAAGCTAAGTAGATTTTGTTTAATATGTTTGAAAACCCTGTGCCAAGCTCTGGGAAGTGAGGGGAAGGGGAGGTTGAGGGTGGGTGGGTTTTTGGGAGTGGGAGGGAGGGGGGTTGGGGTGGGGGGGTAAGTAGGTTAGACGATAGGATTAAAGTAAGATAATAAGGGATAACTTATGAGAGAGATGTTGCTTGGGCATTTCCCTGGTACTGTATCCGAAGAGGGATGAGAGAGGAGGAGAAAGGTTAGGGAGGAAAAAAATAAAATAAAATACTTAAATAAAAAAAGTAATAAAAAATAAAAATAAATAAATAAAAATATTAAAGCATGATAGAAAGATTTACTAATCTGCCCATTGATATGTACTATAGAGCAGTGGTTCTTAACTTTTTCTTCATCACAGACTCCCTTTAAATACCCTTTGTGGCCACTGTTCATGGCCACAGACTCCCAAGACTTAACTTAAGATTTCAATTGTAATATTTCTTCAAGCCTTCAGGGACCCCCTGGGATGACATCCCAGTTCCCCCCCCCCAGGGGTCCATGGACCACACATTGAGAACCACTGCTATAAAGTAATATTTGGGTTTGTTGGTTTTTTTAGATTCTATAGAAATACCTTGAATTTTTATTAGCACTTGTTTCAAATATCTTACTAAGATTACCATAATGTTACTTCTTGTTCCCTTGATTTGTCAGGGGGCAGACATGCAAATTCTACTAGAAAAGAACAGTTCCAGAGGTAACTAGGGCTGAAACCATTTTAATCTGAAAATCTTTCACAAATTCAGTTAATTTTAAATACCGTTGGGCTGTATTCAAATCATAAAATGTGTCCTCACTTGAGGTACAAATGTCTCAAATTCCCAAATTTTGGACAGATTACATGAAGACCTAGCTCTCTGAAGAAGGCTCTGATGCCTGGAAAGTTGGAAAGAAGAAGAGAACAATCAGCAACAAGAAGAATGGACTCAGTTACAATGCTGATGAGTGTACTGTTGGAAGACTTCAGGGACCAGGTTTTTCACGGAGAAAACCTATTTATGTGGTCACTAACAGTTGACATGGATTTGATGGTACGCAGTCAATCAAATGTGGGCTCGTGGTGTGCACTGAGTTATTCATCCTTCCAGTAGTTTTCAGTGTCTTCCATCCAGATTCCATCTAGATTCTCCCTCTAACATGAATTTGATGAGAAAGTCC